AAATATTTCTTTTCAACAATTTATTTTCGATTAAAAACCTCTGCGTACATCAGACATCGAGACCGAGTAGAATTTTCAAAGATTCGATTCAATTTGATTCTAGTGAATAAAATCAAGCTGAGCCGAAACTAGCAAAATGAACGAGAATCGCGACACAGTGAAAATATTGTCTCTTCTAGAGTATTATATAGATTATTTGTCTCCTTTATATTGCTAGTTTTGCCGAATATGTCAAAAACAATTAAACGTAGGAAAATCCAGCCGATAAGCAGCTTATGTAGGCATTTTGAGACGAAAATGAAAGTTTATCCAGTACAAATTCATCATTTTTCTTCTACAATCGGCGTCAAAAGTATTGCACCACTTTTAAGTTTTAGATCGTGCATTCCCATGTCGTGAGAATCACCGCGATTTTCTAAAAAATTGGCGTAAAATCGTGATTTATCGTATTTCTTTAAAAGATCGACGATTATATCAGATTTTATCGCGATTATGGGAGAAGAGCTGATTTTCAAAAATCATTGATAAATCATGACAATTATTCATTCACCGTTTTGTTATGAGCACACACGGATATATAAACAACGCCGTACAATGCATAATAAATAAGTTTTCGAAATATACTTTTCTGATAAATTATTTCTTGGTTATTTTTAATCAAGGAAATGCCAATCCCGATCCATGATCTGGAGAGGACTACACTGAAGCGGTCTGATAAGAATCGGACCAGTTCGAGATCGGACAGATCGCACGATCTGATCGGCTTGGATCTTAAGAACAAAAAAAATTGAATGAAATTCAAGAAAAAATCCAAATATGTGTCTGCAAAGAACCAATGAAATAGTAGAAAATATCAGTAAACAGACGGTTAAATCTTGCATAAAATCACGATTTATCGTAAAAATAGCTGAAATAATCGGGAATAATCGGCGATTCTATCGCGATTCAGCTCACGATTATCGTTTCGATGAATCGAGATTAATCGGCAATTTTTAGCCGATTCAAAGGACATGGGTTAAAACTACACAACATTAATTCAATTTGATCATATGGCTGGATACCAGCAGTTGTGCAATATATACCTGTTTAATACAAGAAATCTTTCAAATATAAAATACGCTGAAAAAAATAAAAAACTTACAAAAAACTCCCATTTTGTATTGTTTTTATATAAAGAAATTATCAATTCGTCATAGAAAACCAATAGAAAATGCGAGTTTTTTTTTTGTAAATTTCGTTTCAAAATATATTTTAGAAAATTTTTAATATACAGGCAGTTTTGTAGAGCTTGACAAGCTCTATAGAACCATACAAAAATATTAAAAGAATTGTACTTGATGTCAGAGTTACTGCACCTTACCAAACTTATACTAGCAATATAACATTGTCGTTTTTTATAGTATTTTTTTCATTGCATTTTATGTTTAAAAGATTTCTTATATACAACAGGGATATGTGTATCGTACTCAACTCAACTGCTTGTATACAGTCATAGAATCAAATTCAATTAAAGTTGTGCGGTTTTAATGCACGGCTAAACGCTAAAAAATGGTGCGAGACATTTGATGTCGACTGTATTTTGAATACGAGCGAAAATTTAAATGCATTGACAAGCATTGGAGTACGATATCGGCATTTTGAGTATGAGGCTTATGATTTTAACTTCTCACATAAATAGCCCGTAGATTAGTGTATTCATTTAAGGTTATTACAATTTTGTAGCGTCATATTAGCACCATGAGTAAAATGGATTTAAAGGAATATTTGGAAGAGAAGAATAACATTGTAGAGATAAATTGTTATTCATTCTCTGTCCCGCGTCTCTATCATTATCAGATAGTTGGAATTTTTATATTCTTCGCTGAGGAAAGAATTCTCAATTATGTGAAATATTCAGACGAAGTCACTAAAAGACGTAGTGGTACCATAAGTGGTTCGTCCAGATGTATGCTGCGGTTATAAGTATCTCATTGAGACAGTTGAGCCAACAGTACTACAAACTGTGAAAAAACAATTTACATACACCATTGAATTACTGATCATTAGTAGTATATTCATCTCATTCAAAAGTTAAGGCTCGCCTACGTTTTAGGAGGTACTGCATCACAAACAGATGATTTGTCTTCAATTTTAGATGTTTTTTTTCTTTAGAAACATGACAGAGAGATTTATAACGACGTTTTCTTGCGAGCTAAATTTCAATCATCGTTGTTTTGAAAAAAAGGCTACGAAGTAAACTTCATATTCGCCAGCATCAGTCGAGTATACAACGAAAACTGTGACTAACGAAAGACGTGGTACAATAGAATTGATGTGCTATTGTGAAGATGCTCATATATGACACGTTCTACAAAATCGAATTGAATCGAATAATCAATTTTTCAAGCTATTTCGGTCTATGATGGACATTCAATAGTTCACTGCGTCTTCATACGTTGATAGACATAACTGC